TGATCGACACGACGGGTGGACGAGCGAGAGTGCAAGTGGTGGATGACAATGGTCGATCCGTGTTCGACGGAGAGCTGAGACAAGGTCAGATACTGTTGGTCCCACAGGGCTACGCTGTCGTGAAACGGTCTGGACAAACCGGGTACGAGTGGGTCGCGTTCAAGACCAATGACCACGCCATCACCAACTCGCTCAGTGGACGCACGTCGTACATGAGGGCCGTACCCCTGGACGTGATCTCGGCGGCGTACGGAACATCCGAGGAAGTGTCCAAGAGGATCAAGTTTAGCCAACAGGAGTCGATGTTGTCTACCACGACAACACCGGACTCGGTCTGAACGTACGTGTAACTGGTTCCGTACATTTCGTTGTTTCTGTACAAATGAATAAAGAACCGTCGTCTCGAAGCCATTACTGTTAGATGAATTCATGGCGTGTTTCACGTTCTTTAAATGGACTAAACCCATATAAAATGCCGTACATAAAAAATATTTTTGTTTTCATTTATTAATATATTATCAATAATAGACAGTGGCCGAAGGATATATACAACATAAGCAAATGCAACATTGAGTCAAGTAACAGATTCTTTACATACCCGTTTGTGTTCTTAAAATTACCAAACCAAATGTATATTGGTTATCGTTTAACCGAGTCGGTTAACGGGTGAACCGAAATACGAGTACGTATCATAATCAATGACTCTTACGATTGTCGAAATATATACATGTAGATAGATACATAAAATACAGAGACATTAGGCAAAACAGAGAGTACGTTAACAGTCTGGAAATTACCTGTAAATACCCATAATTAACTATAAATACAAAAAAACTAAATAGCATAAAGAAAATGCCAGCCAACAACGAGTCTCTCTCTCTCTCCCATTCTTTGTACAAATTAGCGAATCTTCTTTTCGTCGTTCTAACGGAATTCGAAATTTTGCCCGTGTGCCGGGTCAAATCCGGCCCAAAGGTTATGCGTTTTCTCCTCGTGGTAGTTCAGTCTCCGTTGGATTAGGGGTCTCGTTGGATGATCGATTTGCGTGGTTTGGCAATCTGGTTTTGCCCTGTGGTGGACTGTCGATTGTAGCGGAATCCGATTCGTCGCTTTCATGATGGGTATTGTTTTTGTTGCGGCGATCGAAGATTGTCCGTCGGGGATTCTGTGATTCATTGTTTGATGGCGATTTTTACGCATAGATTTTGACGATCCATACATTGTTTTCCTGGTGCATGAACAACTGAAGGTTTTCGGTGTTGAATTTGTGAATCTTCGAAATTTGGCGGATATTATCTGCGGATCTGGGAGGGCATTTTTCGGGTTACATGTCTGATTGAGTTCTGGGGCCAAAGGAAGAAGAAGGATTTGTTTGATATTGTGCTTGAAGATTAGGGATTGCGGAGAGATTGGACAAGATGGATCTTGTGGTTGGTGGAAGATTTAAGCTTGGAAGGAAAATCGGTAGCGGGTCCTTTGGCGAGCTATATCTGGGTAAAAAGGAGGAAATTTTCTCTTTGATGCTTCAGCTTTGCAATCTCATTGTTGGATTTGTAAATACATATTTCTCCAAATCTGGTTTTCACGCGTTTAAGCTTTTTGCAGGTGTTAATGTCCAAACCGGAGAAGAAGTTGCTGTCAAGATGGTAAATTTGCAATAGTAGACAATGATGTTTATTTTCATCACAAGAATACATAAATTCCCTCGTACTGTAGATTGTCACTGATTGAAATCATCACCTTTTTGGCCTTTTTCAACAAAAAGTTTTGCTGTGATGGTGAAATATTTTCACCGGTTCAGTTTCGAGGTAGCTACTGATAAATTCACACAGGTTAACTAGACGTTTCTTGCAATAACTCACTTGTGTGACTAAGCCTCTCTTGTTAATTGTTTTCTCATTATAATTGCCTTTGATGTGGACTCCTTTCAGATTTGGTTTTGCTCGTTTGCTTTTCTCCTCATTCTTTCTTTGCTTCTTGTGATTTGATTCTTAGGAACCTGTGAAAACCAAACATCCTCAACTTCATTATGAGTCAAAGCTATATATGCTGCTTCAAGGAGGAAGTAAGTCCCATTTTCCTGCGAAAGTGTATTGTACGTCTAAGAGATTTGTAACAAAATATCGCGCCTGGCTGGTCTCTGAGCTGAAAGTATTTGCTAAAAAGAAATAGTAAATACTTCTGTTTCTGCATGCTGGGGATAATATGATGTTATGGGCTATTTCTAGAATCTCAAGAAGTTGGGAGATATGATTTTTGGATAGGACTCCATTGTAAATCGTGTTAGCTATATCACTATCTTGCGAATAACTAGAAGTGTTTCTTTCTCTTTCTGAAAGCCGGTGTTCCAAGCCTCAAGTGGTTTGGAGTTGAAGGGGACTACAATGTCATGGTGATTGATCTTCTTGGCCCGAGTCTGGAAGACCTATTCAACTACTGTAACAGGAAGTTCTCCTTGAAAACCGTTCTCATGCTTGCAGACCAACTAGTAAGTATATTTAGCTGTTACTTTCTTTACTGTTCTTCTGTTTAAATAAATGAGTGATGTAAGATCGGGAATATCGTTTTCTTTTTCCGCATTTCAGCTTAACAGGGTTGAATACACGCATTCTAGAGGTTTCCTGCACCGTGATATAAAGCCTGACAACTTTTTAATGGGCCTTGGGCGCAAGGCGAATCAGGTATCATTTCTGTCTTATTGGGCAGCTTGGCTTTGGATATGGTCTGTAGAACAATAATTTTACTTATATTCTTTTTGGTTCTCATTTCATGTTAGGAAAAGCAATATCATGTCTAAATTTTAAGAAAGATCTTCATCGTGGTTCTGCTTTTAAACCCACTGTTTTATTACCTTAGGTGTATATTATTGACTTTGGGCTTGGGAAGAAGTACAGAGATCTTCAGACTCACAAGCACATTCCGTACAGGTAAGATTATTCCTTTAACATCCTTCCCCTGCATGCTCATGCATGGATTTGTATTATTGCTGCTTAATCTCTGTAGTCACGTATGTAATGGGCATCAAATTTTGTGGCAGAGAGAACAAAAACCTCACTGGCACAGCTCGGTATGCAAGTGTCAACACTCACCTCGGAGTTGGTAAGAGTTGTTTTGTATTGATATTCCGGCTGTAGTGAATTTGGGTGTGATACTTAGCCACTTTCTCCTGTATATCGGCAGAACAAAGTCGAAGGGATGATTTGGAATCACTTGGTTATGTGCTTATGTACTTCCTCAGAGGAAGGTAGAGCCTACAATGTCTATTACAGTTTTTCAACTTCTGTAGATTTCTTTGTATCTCCATTTTCTTCTTTCGTATCTCTTCTGAACAAATGCTCATCTTTTCTTTATTTTCTGCTTCAGCCTTCCCTGGCAGGGACTGAAAGCTGGAACCAAAAAGCAGAAGTATGACAGAATTAGCGAGAAGAAAGTATCAACTCCTATAGAGGTATGAAATCACAAACACTGTTAGGACTGCACATCAATCAATTAGGGTTTTGGTTGGTTGCTTATGAATTTGTGGGTTTCGCCCCTCCAAATCCATTTTGAGGGTTGAGGTCCACCAATGGATTTGTGGCAAATGATTAGGAGCTTTGATGGGCTGATCCTATCAACTTGTATTAGAACCACTTGCACCAAACGTCATACGGGGGAAAGGCAACTTAGAACGGGATGATAATGGAAGAGACAATTTGGATAGGCTCACTGACCAGGAGGAACCACCATGGACACTGGAGTTAGAATTATTGTTGTATCCTAGCTTTTGTGGTGGAGTTAGGGCCTAAACCTTATTAGATAGTTTGACTCTTTTAACACTCTGATAGGAAAGGAAAAATCTATTTGACTTCATACATAATTATGTTTCATTATCGTAATTTATACTGATTTTGCTGTGTACGCAGGTGTTGTGTAAAGGTTACCCATCTGAATTTGTTTCGTACTTCCATTACTGTCGGTCCCTAAGGTTTGATGACAAACCTGACTACTCTTACCTCAAGAGGCTTTTCCGTGACTTGTTTATCCGAGAAGGTCCTTATCTTCCATTCTTATCCTTGCTAAAGTTTCTTATCTTCTTCCGGTTTAATTTTTTTTAATCTCATTTCCTCGTAAAACATTTGAGCTATCGCAGGTTATCAGTTTGATTATGTATTTGACTGGACAGTGCTGAAATACCCTCACACTGGTTCCAGCTCTAGCTCTAGTTTACGGACAAGGGTGAGTAATGGCTCCTATCTTTTGCCTTAAACTCTCTCTCTCCCTCGTGTTTTGCTTATGTAAGTGTGTATTTTTGCTTGTTCAGCATCACACTGGGAAACCAGGTCTAAGCGCCGGACCATCTGCTGAAAAACCAGAAAGGATCTCAGGTACGTTGTGGATTTATCAGTGATTGATACATCGATATCTTCTAGGGTTTTGATTGCTTAGATGTCACCAGTGAAAGGTGGATTTCCTCAAATACTAAAAACCCGTACGGAACACAACCTGTCTGCATCCATGAGACGCAAAAGACAATTTGTTTTCACTTCGGTTCTGTTTCAAATACCTCAAAGGTGTTTGTTGTTTGAATTACTCGTTGCGTAAATGCTACATTTTTTTGGAAACTATTTATCTCGAAAGTTTTGGGAATGATTTATCATCAAACGGGTAAAGGCATATTATAAATCCACATATAAAAAAGGTTAAACTTTTTTGATTGTGTAGGAAAAGAAGTTCGAGATAGATTCTCAGGTGCGGTTGAGGCCTTCTCCAGGAGGAACCCTACAACTTCTACTCCACGTGAGCATTCGCGATCCAGAAACTCGGATGATGGACCCCACTCTAAACACCCGGTACATTTATTTATTACATTCTTCCTTACACCGGTAACTAGAACACGTATCAATATTTTGCTTTGGTGTCACAGCAGGGTGACTCGGAAAGGGCGCGTAGTTCAACCAGATATGGAAGCTCGTCAAAGAGAGCGGTGGCTTCAAGCTCTAGGCCAAGTTCAGCGGGTGGTCCAAGCGACAGCAAAACCTCCAGCCGGCTGGTCTCATCCAGCGGTGGAAGTGGCAGTGGCCGTCCTTCAACCAGTCAAAGAATCCAATCGGGATACGAATCCAGGACCTCGTCTTTCTCCCGCAACCCTGCTGCGTCTAGGAATCCTCGTGATGACCCGATTAGGAGCATCGAGCTTCTCTCCATCCATAAATGAAATGGAGCACGCTATGATCAAGCCTATTCTTGCTTCTGAGTCTTGCCCAAAAGATCATATACTTGAGTTTCGTATATGGAAACGTTGGAAGAAGGAAAATCTATGGGTAATTTACAGGTAATATCTATCAGCTTGAGCTGCAGAGGATCTCTCTTGCTGGGTTTTATTTTACTCCTCCAAAAATTCTCTTTTGTTTCTTTACCCTTATAGAGATTACATGTTTGTGTGACGATAGAATCAAAAGGTTGGGGGAGTTTTCATGTAAACGGTGAAGTTTCTAGCCTTATATGCAACTTTGATCCATTTGTAATAAAAAAGGATGCTCTGATTTCTGTTTTTAGAGGAGCAAAGCTCAAGCCTGCTTTGACTTTTTGAGCGTTGACTTTAGTCCTTCTGGTTCATGCATTTCTATTGGCTGCCAATCTATCCTCCGGCTCATCCATGTCAGAACTGCAACTAGGGGTCGGGGAAACCAATCACGGGTGAGTATGGAAATCTGGTTTTACTGACCTAACCGTTGTGTTTTCATGGAGATGAATCCTGGGTATCTGGACTCAGAGACACCCAGATCATCGAATCGACCAAAACATCAGAACAAAGGAAAACCCTCATGATCAGATGTTAATACTCCCGTAACTAGCGCCGTAAAGCCAAGGAAAAATGTCAAGAGCCCCCCCACCGAAATTAGGACGAGTCTTCTTCCCTCAAGTGTGGCGTTTAGGAATCTGTCGGTGGCGCTTTTGCTCTTGCTGGTTACTTGGGGAAGAAGAAAGAAGGAACTCGGTCAGTGCAAAAAAAAAAAACGAACCTCAGAGACTTCAGGATGGTACTGGCAAGAAGTAGCGGCAACTCCACAGATTTTCAGAGACTTCCCGCTATGAATTGCTTTGCCAAGATCCTTCATTCATGCCAACCCTTTGTCCTCCTATTTTTGGTTTCCAGGTTGAAACTCTATCTCCCCTCTATATATGCCCACATACACACACACACACTCACACACAAGATGTACGTCTGAATATGTGGTTTCATGGTAGATATGGTTTCAAATCGAGGGAGAGAGAACCATGAAGATGTTTCCGGTTGAAAACCATATAATTATTGGGGCTTAATTTGATTCGGACCACTAGATAGAAGCCCAAGTAAAAAGGCCCATGATAAGCTTTGCTGGAACTAATGTAGGCCGGTTCTTTAGGCCCAACTGTGTAATAATAGTCCAATTGCAATTTGTTCGCATTCGCCCACTCGCAATCATAGCGCGTGGACGCCACCACCAGTAATCCTCCGGGCTATATAACCCAGCGATTTTGGCTTTTTTTTTTCTTTCGAAAACTTATTTTCGCGGCGCGTGAGATAGTCTTTGGTTTTGCTGCTGGTATCTCTTCTTTTTTCGTGAACTTCTGTGACTTCGCTGTCCCACTGTTTTTTTCTTCTTTGCTAAATTTCTTTTTTCTTTCTTTCGCGCAAACAAAAAAAAGTCGTGAACATCATAGTTTTTTTTTTTGTTTTTTGTGGTCGCGACAACTTTTTTCCTGCTTATTACAATCAAAGATAAAACACAGTAATATAATTCTCGATTTAAAAATCCTTTATGTATCTCGAAATGTAAACAATTTATTACAAAACTCATGCAGAAATATGAGCTTTATATTTCCAATATTTTCGCGTACGAGACAAAAATAAAGGTTCTCGGATTCACAAAGATGGAACAAAATAAGTGGGGGGGTTTAAAAGGCAGGAGCTGCGAGGTCATCCTCTTCCTTGTTCTCTTGACACCGTCTCAGCAGCTGAAGCTGTCGACGCAGATGCAATACCTGCAATTTCATCACCACATCTCCGTTTTAGGGTTTACCAAAACCGGAAACGAACCTCAGAGACTTCAGGATGGTACTGGCAAGAAGTAGCGGCAACTCCACAGATTTTCAGAGACTTCCCGCTATGAATTGCTTTGCCAAGATCCTTCATTCATGCCAACCCTTTGTCCTCCTATTTTTGGTTTCCAGGTTGAAACTCTATCTCCCCTCTATATATGCCCACATACACACACACACACTCACACACAAGATGTACGTCTGAATATGTGGTTTCATGGTAGATATGGTTTCAAATCGAGGGAGAGAGAACCATGAAGATGTTTCCGGTTGAAAACCATATAATTATTGGGGCTTAATTTGATTCGGACCACTAGATAGAAGCCCAAGTAAAAAGGCCCATGATAAGCTTTGCTGGAACTAATGTAGGCCGGTTCTTTAGGCCCAACTGTGTAATAATAGTCCAATTGCAATTTGTTCGCATTCGCCCACTCGCAATCATAGCGCGTGGACGCCACCACCAGTAATCCTCCGGGCTATATAACCCAGCGATTTTGGCTTTTTTTTTTCTTTCGAAAACTTATTTTCGCGGCGCGTGAGATAGTCTTTGGTTTTGCTGCTGGTATCTCTTCTTTTTTCGTGAACTTCTGTGACTTCGCTGTCCCACTGTTTTTTTCTTCTTTGCTAAATTTCTTTTTTCTTTCTTTCGCGCAAACAAAAAAAAGTCGTGAACATCATAGTTTTTTTTTTTGTTTTTTGTGGTCGCGACAACTTTTTTCCTGCTTATTACAATCAAAGATAAAACACAGTAATATAATTCTCGATTTAAAAATCCTTTATGTATCTCGAAATGTAAACAATTTATTACAAAACTCATGCAGAAATATGAGCTTTATATTTCCAATATTTTCGCGTACGAGACAAAAATAAAGGTTCTCGGATTCACAAAGATGGAACAAAATAAGTGGGGGGGTTTAAAAGGCAGGAGCTGCGAGGTCATCCTCTTCCTTGTTCTCTTGACACCGTCTCAGCAGCTGAAGCTGTCGACGCAGATGCAATACCTGCAATTTCATCACCACATCTCCGTTTTAGGGTTTACCAAAACCGGAATTCCCAACGCGAAAATCCGCAGTTCATCCATTGTTTTTATTAGCCATTGTGTTCACAGATCTCAACTAGAGACCCACATATATCATGAAGTTATTGGTATTGTGATATCCTTTTTTTTTTTTTGGAAAATATAGACGCATCTCAATTCAACAAATTACTACCTTAATGAATCAGAGAAGCCTACACCATATGATCCAAGCGATCAAGCGATAATTAAGGAGAGTGAGTGAGCTATTATTTACCTCTTCTTGAAGCAATGTGGGAAGGCTAGCCATGGAAACGAGCTGTTTCATTTCATACATAACAGCTTGGTCTTTGATGCCAGACCATGTCTGTATAGGTAAAGCCATCAGAAGCACCGTCAGCACATCGTTGCCGGCTGGGTACACAGACTCTGGACCGCAGTCGCAGCATTTCGGGTCGGCTTGGGCTGATGGCACGAGCAGGTCAACTTGTTGTTCGCTCCCGTCATGTAGAACGATCCCCGAGACCACCGTGATAGCCTCCTCTCCCGTACCTTTTCATGCAGATTAGAAATTTATATATCTTTCTCAAAATGCATAATTCAGAAAGAGCTTCATATATATATTTTAATTACGACAATATAGAGATGGAATAATGAATGGAGGATTTAAGGGCAAGAAATTATTAATGAATCCTTGCGAGGACGGTAAGCATTCTAATAGAAATCCCTGATGACAAACAAATAGCCACCAAGTATCAGAATCAGCATACCTTTGACGCATTTCACGCATGTTTCCCGACAACATAACTCCTTCGACAAATTTCCTAATAAAACTTCAGCTCCTTGGCAACAGACCTTCGCAGCGACATGATGCAGATTGTCTTCGTATTCCACAGAGGATAGGAACTTACTCACATGCTTGAACAGTTCAGATTCAAGCACTTGTTTCAGTACCTCTTGCTGCATTACACGAGTCAGATTTTAGAAGGTCAAAGTCTACATTTTTCTGAGTGAAGAAAGAATATGACTAGAGTTCAAACGAAAATTATGGAGACATAACAACAGGGAAAGCATGATTTTGAGCGATTCCCCTTTTGAGGCTCGGGCTACATAGACCAAAAATTCAGAGAGTTGGACAAAAAAGGGCCAATCCATGGGTAATTCCCTCTGAAAATTTTTCGAAGAGATGCGTCCTTTTGATCCCCTTTAGAAAGAGGAAAAATGGCATTCTTACAGTTTTTTAGATTCCCCAAACATAGAAACAAACGATTCTCAAGGTCTCAGTAAAGAAAGAGACAATCTGATTTCCCTTTGGTTCCATTCGAAAAGGAAACAAGTTGAATTATCATAACATTGACTCCTGGGATCGACGTATCAGCTGACACCGCTACCTTTCCATGTAATTTTTCTAAAATGTCACTGCAGCTGAGAGTATGCATACCTTTAAGTTCAGTCTTGATTTCTCCTCTGCACTAAGATTTTGGTTAAGGTCCTCCTTCCTTCGAAGCTCAGCCACCCATCTGATGAATTGGTTGAAATTTGATGGAAGTGACTTGAAGACAACAGATAAGATCTTCTCAACATTATTCACGTGCTGTGAGCTTACAAGACGGGGAACATCTTCTGTCAAATACTTTGCTATGCTGAGCCAACTTTCATCCTTACAGCTCTAGAATTGATCAGAGAAAACAATCATTACTCCAAATTAGTTAACAATTCATAGACTATCACAAGATAAATGTAGATTAGATACTTTTAATGGGTTTCAGGCAAAAAAAAGGGAACAAAAGTTAACAAGCTTATAAAAGAAAAGGTTAATGTAACGGTATTGAAATGGTGGGATAGTGTTCAGGTGGAAGGTGACATGAATGTTGCATATGAAAGCAAGCAAAAAAAAGTATTAACAGCAAATGAATGCACAGCAAATATAAATAGAACCAAGACACTTACCAGAGTATAAAGCAATCCTGGTTCTCTGTGAGGCCTAGATATGAGCATGAACCTGTGACGAAAAAGAACAAGCAGCTAAGCAAAAGAATATCCTGTTTCTGATCATACTCTATAAGGGAAGCATAAGTACCAAAATAAATACCCTCTGCGTTGTCCTGTTGACAGATCAAGACTGTCCATGGCTTCCCAAAGAAGTTTAAGCGGAACCCAGTGAGGAGGATACTTGAAACGAGCGACATCAAGAATCAAAGCCATATCCCTTTCAGCATTATAGCCACCGATAGGTGAAAAATGACCAGTTCCAGTCTGCAGTAAGATTTGTTAGAAACCCAATCAACTTGACATTCGACGGTACGGAAAGACACTGGAAACATTCATTCTTCCTCATATTCGTAGAAGTCTAGAGCACAAAGATTATGGCAGTCAAGAACAGTAAAATTTATGTAGATAACATACTACTTCTATACGAAACAGTGATACACAAATTTTCAGTCAAGGAGCAGGAGTTACCTGCTTAAATACCCCTCTGTGATATGATGTGATGATATGGCAATTATCAGAAGACGAACATTTTATCACGCATTTACGGAAATCCTCTATGGTGCTTTGACTAGTGCGGAATGCTTCAACTTTTGCCCCTGAACAATGAGCCAAGCAAACAACCTTTCCAAACGCAATGCCCTTGTCCTTAACTATTTCCAGTGGCTCACAGCAATCCAGCATAGATTCATCGAACCACCTCCAAGGCCCTATAGGAAAACAACAAATTTAACAAGCTGCTGTGGAGGTCATGTTGCTTTTATTATAATTTTCCACCGGAAAATGAAAGTCTTACCTTTCCACTTTCGCCCAGGGTCAATAGAAAGGGCATTCATAACCATAGAAAGGCTGGCCAAGCCACAATACGAAGGCTCAGACTGCGTCTGGAAATAGGAAATCAACCTGAAAAAGCCTTCCATATTGCCTTTCTGAAGAGCTTCCTTGAATATTTGCTGCAACACAAAGAAAGTTTATCACTTGGAGCAATAGTTGGAGCGGCAAAAACAGACAGACATCTACATTGGCAAGCCCTGTTCCAAGCAGCACACACTCATTACGTCCGCATAGTGCTAATTTGTCAATAAATCACTCACATACTCAGAGTTCAGTAGCACACACTCATTGACCAGGATATGTAGCGTAATACTCCAAAAAATATGCCTGAAGTATAGAAAAAAACCAAGATTTCAAATGGACAAAATACTTGTTGAATAACCCCGCATCTAAACTCATACCAGACTCCAAGCCGCAGAGAGTAAGCCTACCTGATTTTCTAGTGCTAGTGTTGGTTAACACCCGAAAATCCAGAGAAATCCGCAATGCAGAAATCCACATTGCTTAGTAAACAAGAACAGCTTGCTTAGCAATCCATATTGCTTTGTAATTATGAACAGATTGCTTAGCATCAGATTCTTATCAATAAAAATTCGCCAAATATACCGATGCGTCGACTTTGGGAAATATAACCAAGCAATTAAGCGAAATCCACGAAAATAAGTAGCAGAGATTGTAATTAACCAGAACGAGAAGATCACAGACCAAACAAAAACCTAGAAACCCGAAATTTTCATCGGAGTCAATGGATCGAAATCTGATCATACCTTTCCTTCGGCAGAGGCGAAGTCTATAGCCGGAGGCGAAGGAAGAGGACGCCGATACAAACCCGCCATAGCCATTCTCACTTACTTGGGAGGATTCAAATCTGCGAAATTACAGAGAAATGCCAAAAGATTCGAAATAGGAAACCGGAGATTTTACGAACTACGAGCTTTCGGCGGAAGATTAGATTATGGATTCGAAATGGAAAGTCGAACTCTCTATATGTATAGCCTCACAGAGGAGAGGATCCAGACGCCATTTCTACATGTTCTCTTCTGTCTCTCTCTAGTCAAAGGAGAAAACGTCGTTAGCCTACGCGTTAACGGTCGGTTCGGTTCATGCAACTCGGTTATACCAAACCAAAATTTCCCACCAAGAATGAATTAATAGAAATTAAATAAGCGAAACCTTAGATTATATTAAATATAGGCTATGACTGGTTAGAATTTTAATTTTAATTTTTTTACTTTAGTTTTTTGTTTTTGGTTTTTACCTTTTAGTTTTGTAAATCCCAAAATATGAATTGTCAATTTTCAAGTTTATAGAGAAACCAAAATTATAAAAACTTAATTGTCAATTTTTTCGATTTTTAAAATTTAAAAACTCCAAAATCCATTTCCATTCAATCCCTTTGCAAAAAATTTTGAACCCAAAAAATTAATTGAATTCAAATTACAGGTTCAAATTTTGGCTCATAAAATTTTGTTTTATCTGTTAAAAGAAAAAAAATACAATTTGTTTTATAAATTTTAAATATCTATAAATCCGCAATCAATTAGAAAGAATGTTTGATCATTCAACAAAGAAACAGAATATAATTGCAAAAATAAAAATAAAAATGATGATAGTTTTTATTTTGAATTTTTAAATTTAGTTTTAAATTTTTGGTTTTTACAATATTTTTACATCCAAAAAACAAAGTTTTTGGTTTTTTAATTACTTATTTCACTAAATTGAGTTTTCAAATTTTTAGAAAATCCAATTTTAAAAAATTTTGATTGTCAATTTTTTTATTTTTAGATTTTAAAAATCTCAAAAATCATTTCTATTCCTAATGGTTGTATATTTCTCGTTTTTTAGAGGACGGTAATCATAATGATTTAATTATGATATAAAAAAAATGGGGGAAAAGGACTCGGTCAACGAAATCTTCGGTTCA